CCTCCTGCCTCTCACTCTCTCTCCGCTCTCCTCTGTCTCCGTCAGGGGTGCACGCTCGTCCAGGCCTTGCCCTCTGGGCATGTACGTCACCGCCCTGACCCCCTTCACCTCCCGCCATGGCTCTTGGCTGACTTCTGCGCCGCTCAGCTAGGCCGCCGTGTGGGAGCAAGTGGCACAAGTGACCGTTTGGGCTCTGTGGTCCCCCGAGTGAGAGGCAGGAGGGGGAGGAGAAGAGAAAGAGAGAGGCAGGACGCGGAGGAGAGCTGAGAGGCAGGACGCGGAGGAGAGCTGAGAGAGGGGGGGAGGCAGTAGGAGGAGGAGGAGAGAGAGAGACGGAGCGAGAGACCGGAGGCTCAGAAGAGAAAACCGATGTGGAGGAGCGACCTGAAAATCCCGTCTTATGACGGGCTAGTTGGCCAGTTTTTAAAGAAGGGAAAACTTGTCAGAGGCAAGTCAAATCAGCCTCCAGAAGGGGGTACAGTCTGGAAAGGCTGGGAACCGCTCGCCCTGCCCCCACTAAGGCAGGACAAACTAAACCTACATCACCCGGGTATCTCCCCCAGCCCCACATGCCAGACCCTGCCTCTCCTGCAGAGTGTCCCCGGACCATGCCACCTGGCCCCCCTGTCCCTCTGGCTGCCTCACCTGACCTTACCTACCTGTGCCCTGGGCAGTGGGTAGCAGCCCTGGGTACTCTGAGCTGCCGCTTCAGTCTGGCTATAAGGGAACAGGACCAGCGAGAGGCTGACTGTGCAGAGAGGAGGGGAGGCAGCACATGGCAGCCCCCTCCCAGCAGGTAACTCTGGGTGGGCTCCTCCTGGGACTTCGGTTAGTGGAGAGGAGAAGAGAGAGGAGGGGCAGGGGGAGGGGGATTTCCCCTCTATGGCCCCAAACCCAGGTCAGCTTGCCTGCTGCAGCCCAAAGTTTGAGCTCCTCTTCCCCAGCCCTACCCCACCCCAGACCCTACACCCACAGCAAGAGCCCTCACCTCCACAACCCAGCCCTCTGCCCCACCCTAATCCCTCCAACACCCCAAACCCCTCACCCCCCTCCCCCCCAAGCCTCTGCCCCTGCCCTGAGCTCTTCTCACACCCCAAACCCCTCATCCACACCCCAGAGTCCCCACACCCCACTCCCCCAAGCCTCTGCCCCTGCCCTGAGCTCTTCTCACACCCCAAACCCCTCATCCACACCCCAGAGTCCCCACACCCCACTCCCCCAAGCCTCTGCCCCTGCCCTGAGCTCTTCTCACACCCCAAACCCCTCATCCACACCCCAGAGTCCCCACACCCCACTCCCCCAAGCCTCTGCCCCTGCCCTGAGCTCTTCTCACACCCCAAACCCCTCATCCACACCCCAGAGTCCCCACACCCCACTCCCCCAAGCCTCTGCCCCTGCCCTGAGCTCTTCTCACACCCCAAACCCCTCATCCACACCCCAGAGTCCCCACACCCCACTCCCCCAAGCCTCTGCCCCTGCCCTGAGCTCTTCTCACACCCCAAACCCCTCATCCACACCCCAGAGTCCCCACACCCCACTCCCCCAAGCCTCTGCCCCTGCCCTGAGCTCTTCTCACACCCCAAACCCCTCATCCACACCCCCCACTGCCATGAACGTGGGGGGACCCAACCCCTGCTGTTTCGCCAGGCCCTTCCCTCCTTCCAAGTAATCCCCCAGATTGCATTGCACGAGGAGGGGGCTTGGTGCAATGAGTTTGGGAGGGGGCAGAGCAGGTGTGGGACGAGATAGGAGGGGGCAGAGAAGAGGCAGGACTTGAGGGGTGGGGTGCAGCAGAGGCTGGGCAGCGGTGGGTCTGGGGCAGGGCCTGCGGTGGAGGATCCCATGCTTGGTCCCTGCACCCTCCTAGAGACAGTCCTGCCCATCTCCGAATCCTCTATCCCAGCTCTGAGCCCCTCCCACCCCCCAACCCCAGAGCCAGAGCCCTCCCAACCTTTACAAGGCAGATGTGGGGGAGGCAGGACTTGGAGCGGTTCTGGGTACCACCAAATGTTGTACAACCCCTCCACCCCTGCTGGGCATTACAGTAACACAAAGAATAAGACGACTCGTTTGTTTTCCTCCTTAAACCCGAGCGCCTTTTCAGCTCTTCATATTTTTATTTAATTTGTTTTCCTCCTTTTCAGCTCTTCATATTTTTATTTAGAAAGCAGAGCATCCTGCCCACTCCCCGGGCCGGGGCCAAAGCACTCCCATTCCCACCACGGGGGTGGCGCGAGGGGCAGCAGGCCGGGAGAAGGGTGGCAGGTAGGCGTGGAGAAGGCTGATGGGTTGCTCCAGCTCAGTTCAAGGAACTTTCAAATCTTTAATGGTAATTAAATGCCTAAAATCAAGAGCAGCTCCCACAAACGTGTGTGCGAGGGGGCGGGGGAGACTACGCAGCGCTGTGTTTTGAACAATCCACCGTGGGGCACGTTGAGGATATTTAAATTGCTGTTGTTGTTTAATTATCCAGCCGTTGGACGGTCTCATGCTTCAAAAGAACATCACAATTGCCGGGGTGCGGCCAGATGCTGCGGTATTGCGTGGGCATAAACTGGAGTCATGCAGTTGGCTTCCAGAGGGGGGCAATTTGGTTCAGCACCAGTAGAACCGAGAGCAGAGTTTGGCCTTTTTTGCCTGCGACTCTGGTGGATCAGCAAAGTTTTAAACGTTTAACATCATTTCCCGAGTAAGATGTTAGGCGCCGTTTTCCAGATGGGTGAGTGAAAAACTGCCAGAGCTAATTGTGTTCCTGAGACTCCAACCGACCATCAGCCTCAGGGCAGAGGGAAAGGGGGAAGCAGCCCTCATGGAGGAGAAAGAGACAAGCAAACCTCCCAGACGTCCCCCAGGCAGGAACGACTTTGAGCGGATGAATGATCGATGTAGGACGAGAGGCTGGCCTCTGATAAGGCAGGGCTGATGGTGGAACTAACGGGAAACCAGGAAATGAACAAAAAGGCATGATCCAGAGGCAGGTCTTTTCCCAGAGATGCTTTTTGCCACCTCTCCCAAACCTCTGGCCAATGCTTCTCAATTGCTCAGTCCCCAGCCCCGGAACGAAACTCAGACCAGACCTCTGAATGTCGGCCCTGCAGGCTATTCCCAGAAAGCATTCAAAAAATATCAAGAGGTCCATGGAACAAGAAGGGTCTGCTGTTAGGCCCAGAAAAAACATGGGGCTTTTTTTAGCATGACACTGCTCTGAGGAGGAGGAAACCCAAGCGGATCTCTCCACACCACGCACATGCTACAGCAGATCTGCCCACCATCAGCAAGCCTGCCCCAAGGGCATTCATGAAAATAAAATAATGAACTCAGTGCTACCTCCTCTGAGCAACTTCACCTTCCAGAGAGCGCAGGAGGCTGTGATCCAGCCAGAAAGGCATCCTTGAGCCCTCCCCAAAAACTATAAACCATGACTGGTGTGGAAAAAGTGAATAAAGAAGTGTTATTTATTCCTTCCCATAACACAAGAACTAAGGGTCATCACATTACATTAATAGGTAGGATGTTTAAAACAAACAAAAGGAAGTATTTCATCACACGACGCACAGTCAACCTGTGGAACTCCTTGCCAGAGGATGTGGTGAAGTCCAAGACTATAACAGGGTTCAAAAAAGAGCTAAAAAGATTCATGGAGGTTAGGTCCCTCAATGGCTATGAGCCAGGATGGGCAGGAATGGTGACCCTAGCCTCTGTCAGAAGCTGGAATGGGCAACAGGAGAGGGATCACGTGAGGATTACCTGTTGTGTTCATTGCCTCTGGGGCACCTGGCATTGGCCATTGTTGGAAGACAGGACACTGGACCTTTGGTCTGTCCCAATCTGTTCTTAGGTTCCAAAGTGCTAAGTTCCCATTGACATCAATGGAGTTACACCTGTGTAAAGGGTTCGGCCTCGGCCCCAGCCCCAGTCTGGATACCTTTAGAAACCCCAACACAGGTGTGCAGACTTGCCATCAAGGGCCGGGGAGAATTCCCCATTAGCCCCAATATTAGACCCATGGGAGCTGCGAAAATCTGGCCACAAACATTCAGCGCCCCGCAGTCAACGAGGTCAAGGGACAGTTTCGAGGGAAGCTGCCAGAAAACCCCCTGGCGTTAAATCCCAAGTTCTCTCCCACTACGGCCTGTGGATTTCAGTGAAAGCCTGGCTCATTCCGCAGCAGCTATTGGCTGGATTTCTCCTGCGAGCGCCTTGAATTCTGACACCCGGCCCGTTCGCGGCAAGCGCCGTAGGCCAGGTTCATCCGTCAAGGATCAATAATGCAGGGACATCGCTGTGGCCCGCTGGGAAGCTGAGTGACAACAAAGCAGCAGCTGGGGAGGTGAAGCCAGTGTCTGAGGGACCTGAGCCTGAGAAGATGCCAGAGGCCATTTTGGTGCTGTGCACAGCAGCGTGCAGTGAAATGCAGAGAGGGAGTCAGCTCCGTGTCCCATGCTGACCTGCTTGGGAGGCGACTCGTGAGAACAAAGGTGCTTTATGGTTCTTTGCTGGGTGGCTGCTGTGTCGGTCCCAGGATAGAAGCCAGGCAAGGTGGGTGAGGCCTAGTGGACTCTGGTTTCCTTCCCCAGCCCTGAGGAAACGCTTGGCAAAGCACAAGCTTATCCTTTCCCCCCAGCAGACATAGGCCCAGTGAAAGCGATTCCCTCGCCCACCCGCCTCTCTTTATGGTTTGGGACAGACAGCTCCTGGCTAGGACTGACCAAGCCCTCAGAGAGACTGGGCTAGCTACTCTCACTCCCCATTCCTGGGATTGGGTTTCCAAAAGCCACCCCTGCCTGGGGCCTCGATCGTGCAGGCTGTTGCATGGACTGGCACCAGGCATGCATGGAGGGAATCCACCCTGGCAGTCACGAGAACATGTCTGGGCAGATGCCAAGTTATCCCTACCTAGCAACAGGAAGGGAGAATGGAGTAAGCAGCTTCGTGAGCACGAGGATCATGTCTGAGACCCTGGGTCAGATGCCACTTTCTCTAGCCCCATTTTCTACATTGCTCCCTTCTGAGCGAGATCAGCACGCAGGGGTCTGGAGAGGTCCCACCATTTGGTAGAGAGGGCTGCACCCAGCACGGAGCCTCTTTTTGCATGCACGGACAGTCCGTGTTCACCCATGTGCGGGAGCACAATTACCGGGAGCACTGCACGAGGACCTGCAGGAAGACAGGGTGTAGAGAGGGGCTTGAGCTGTGTCCAGTTTTATAACGCAACCCTGAAGCTGCAGGCGGCAAGGCCAGGTCTCTGTAACCAGGGAAACAGTCCCCAGGCAAAATGGCAGTAGGGAAGGGACATGGAATCATAGAATAATAGGACTGGAAGGGACCTCAAGAGGTCATCGAGTCCAGCCCCCCGCCCTCCAGGCCAGACCAAGCTCCGTCTACACCATCCCTGACAGATGTCTATCTAACCTGTTCTTAAATATCTCCAGAGAGGGAGATTCCACCACCTCCCTTGGCAATTTATTCCAATATTTGACCACCCTGACAGTTAGGCTGCTGCCCTATCACCTTCTCAGTCCCCCAGGCTCTCTGGCTGCTGCAGGAAAGCTGGGGATGAATCAGAGTTTGTCTCTCTAGCACCAACCTTCTCAGTCCCCCAGACTCTCTGGCTGCTGCAGGAAAGCTGGGGGGTTGGATCAGTGGGTAGGCAGGGAAGGAGCCATGACAGGCTCTCAGGGCAGCGAGAGGCCCAAAACCCCCCCGTCTTGTTCACTCTCTTCCTCCCATGGATGAAGGACAACATCAAACCCACCTGCAATGTAAGGAGGGTTAGAACTGGCTTCACAGCTCCTAAAACAGGGCTCCAGAGCTCAGCCCAGTCCTACCCCCTGTTCTTGGGCCCAGCCCCATGGCTGACTACACCAAAAGTGCCAGGGAGCATATTATTGGGCTGTGTCTACACTGGCGCAAACTCGCACAAAAGCGGCCGCTCTTGCGACAACTTACTGCCTGTCTACACTGTTCTTGCACAAGTAAACTGACGTTCTAATGTATAAAATCAGGGCTTCTTGCACCAGAACGCTGACACTCCCGCTCAGGAAGAAGCCCTCTTGCACAAGAACTCTTTCAGAAGAGGCCAGTGTAGGCAGGCAACATGAATTTCTTGCGCAAGAAAGTCCTATGGTTAAAATGGCCATTGGAGCTTTCTTGTGCAAGAGATGCTCTTGCGCAAAAGCACATGCCAGTGTAGACGCTCCCTTGTGGAAGAGTTTTTGCACAAGAACTCTTCCGCAAAAGAGTTTTTGAGTGAGAATGTGTCAGTGTAGACATAGCCTTGCTGTGGAAGAACAGCCACTGGCCTTTAGCTCTCTATGGGATTGGGGGAGTGTGTCCCTCTCTGGATCACAGGACGCTGCCCTCCCTCCTCCCCCATCATCCGTAGGCTCCTCTGCGGCCTAGCAGGTCTTCTGTCCTTCCTCTGCAATCCAGCTGCCCTTGGCCTGCTCTCTCACCTCAGGACCCCCGTGTTGCGGCCTAGCAGGTCTTATGCCCTTCCTCTGCGACCCAGCTGCCCTTGGCCTGCTCTCTCACCTCAGGACCCCCCCAAAACCCAGGAGCTTTTGGAGCTCACTGGACATGAGCTGCGAGGCCAGACTGCCAGAGGTTTGGGGGCACCATGAACCAGCACCACCAGGGGGCGCTGGCTGCTAACAGGCAAATCCCCGAAAGGCTGCTGCAAACTCACAGCCCGGAGGCGCGTCCAGGCCCCTGCGCTCTGTGCAGAATTGCTGAGTTCTTCCCCTCCACTCCATTGCCCTTGCGACCTCACTGCCCTGTGGGAGTCATGCAGACCAATCCTCCTACGCACCCCTGTGCTACTGGGTCCCAGCGAGTATTCCAAGGCAGGGCAGACCAGTGGTGTGGCGGGGGGCAGGTCCCCAGGCACCACACTAGGGAGATGCCAATTTAGCCCCCCTCCATTCCCCCTGTCATCCCTCAGCTCGCTGGCTCTTCCTCCGACTGCCGCCAGCTGGAGCCTCCGGCTGCATTTCCCTGCATCGGTTCTATTCCCCTGCTCCCCCTTCCTGGGAATACGCAGGAGAAGGAGACCTTTGCTTTCACAAATCCAGCTCTGCTGTCTTCTTCTCCCTCTTTTTGCTCTAGGATCTCCTAGAGGAGACATCACAATTTCCACAGCAGCCACCTCGCTGGCCATGGCACGAGACAGGGTTGTGACTGGGCATGAGGACAGCAGGAGCAAGCCTCAAGCGTGAGAGATGGTCCAGGAGTTTGTGCAAGAGCCTGTGACTCAAGTTCAAATCCCTGTTCTGCCTCAGGCTTCCTATGTGACCTAGGGCAAGTCATCTAAGCCCTGATCCTCACAAGAATTTAGGTGTTTAACTTCCTATCCTCTCTTTGAGGGTCTGGGCCTAGCCCTTCTTCTCCTTATCTGTAAAATGGGGCTTGTTAGCACTGCCCTATCTCATGGCGGGGAGGATAAAGCTGCTATGGCCTGTGAGATGCTCAGATGCTGTGGTCACAGGAGGCCCAGTGAGACCCATGATGGAGATGACCTGTGTCATCTCGAGATCCTCAGACTGGACCCAGATCAATAAGGACTGAAAGTTACTGGCTGCCTTGCAGCCCCAGCCCAGTCCCTAGTGGAGAAGTGCCCTGTGCAAAAGCCCCTGCCACTGGTTCTACCCCTTGTTGGTATTCCCAGCTGTGGGACTGGAGACTGAACTGCCCTCTGATCCCAGAACCCAGGCAGCATGCCTGGACTGTTCCGGCTCTGTAGACCTCGCTCCAAACCAAGAGGGGCTGGAGCATTTTCACACCCTGCTGAGGTTCTCTGCCCCTTCCACGGCTTTCTCCCTCCATTCAGCTCAAACTAGGGATGTTAATTGAATAGTCGATTAACCTAATGAATTTTTATCAGTTAGTCGACTGTTCTATATTCCCCGGGGATGAGGCTGGCAGCCAGTGCGCTGTGGCCCCACTCCTGAGGAAATCCCTGCCACTCCACATTGCTGCCTCTGTATCAGAGGCAGCAACATCAGGTGCCAGATGGGAGTTGGTCCATGAGGGAAGCCAGTTTAAAAACCAGTTCCCCTCATGGACCAGCTGTCTGTCACCCCCTCACTGCTGCACAGGATAGGGTACGCCTATCCGAGACACCATCACACCTCTGATTGCCTGTGCAGACACCCCTCAGAGGAGGAATCCAGCGCCAAACAGGATCAATGCCCCCAACGGCTAAACCCTGAAGAACAGAACCTGACCTTATCCAGGGAAGAGACACAGAAACGTTTTTATGGGCATTCGCTTTGACCAAGGGTGCCACCTAGTGGTGAAAGAGTTGTAACCACTCTGTTTTCCATAGAGATGGTCCATGCTACTCCAAGAGGATGCATCAAATATACCAGCTGTGTCCATGACTTTTCCTGCTCGCCCCAGTTGAACATAAGAACATAAGAACGGCCGTACTGGGTCAGACCAAAGGTCCATCTAGCCCAGTATCCTGTCTGCCGACTGGCCAACACCAGGTGCCCCAGAGAGGGTGGACCGAAGACAATGATCAAGCCATTTGTCTCCTACCATCCCTCTCCAGCCTCTGACAAAGAGGCCAAGGACACCATTTTATCCCCTGGCTAATAGCCTTTTATGGACCTAACCTCCATGAAATTATCTAGCTTCTCTTTAAACTCTATTATAGTCCTAGCCTTCACAGCCTCCTCTGGCAAGGAGTTCCACAGGTTGACTACACGCTGTGTGAAGAAGAACTTTCTTTTATTAGTTTTAAACCTGCTCCCCATTAATTTCATTTGTGTCCTCTAGTTCTTCTATTTAGGGAACTAATAAACAGCTTTTCTTTATCCGCCCTCTCCACACCACTCATGTTTTTATAGACCTCTATCATATCCCCCCTCAGTCTCCTCTTTTCAGTTGCAGGGACAAGGGGTTGTTGATGCTGACTGTTTCCATTGCTGGTCAGCAGAACTGGCTCACTGTGCAACAGGGGCTTTAAGGAACAGAAGTTAATAAACTGAAGAATTATTTTTCAACAGTTCCCCTGAATTGGTTAAGCGAAGCAGAAATTCAGAGATGTCCTGAGGCCAGATTCCTTTCTGCCCTTGCTTTGCTTGGAGCAATCCTATTACAGGCCCAGCACTGTGGTCCTTGGGCATCAGTAGGGTTGCATGTGGCTCTGTGGCCAAAGAACAATGACACGATGAGACATGGAACTTAAAACTAATTTATTTAAGAAAAAAATCCCATAAAAAGGAAAAATATATTGATTACAAGCTCTGGAAGCTTTTGTCAGAACAGCAACAAAGAAATCGGCTTTATACAACAGAGCGAAGGTGGCTAGCAAAACAGGCAGGGCTGCCCCACCAAATGTCTTCCCCATCCCCTGCAGTGTGGAGGGGAGATAAGGCACAACCCCCCGCTAAATCCCATTGCTGTCACAGGGATCGACTCTCCCGCCTTCCGCCGCTATCTGTTAAAGTGCTGCAGAGAAGCCAAGGTGGGAGATTGCAGAAACATCTATGACACTGCTCTGGTATAGAGATGCCTCCCGATCTGTCGCTGGCCCAGCCAACCTCTGAACTGAGCGAGGGTTCCTAGTGCTCATTGTGCACCCTGGCTTCACCCCATGAGCAGAGCAAGGTGCACAAGAGCTCTATGGGCAGGCGAGCCAGGTGGAGTAGAGAGAGATCCCTCCGTGCCCACTTGCTCCACGCAAAACCAATGGGAACAGACGCAAACATGGAAGGAGGTTTGGCTGAGCGGGGCGGGGCGGGGCAGGGCGGCGGGGAGGTGGCTGGGTAACGGGGAGGAGAGTGGAAGGAAGGTTTCGGGGTCCAAGCATTAGGCCTTGAGCCCCAGTTCTAGTTGGCCCCTGGCAAAAGGGAGCAACCAGCAACTCAGGCTAGAGAGCAACCAGCTCCCATTGTGAGTGGCTGAATATCGATCTCTCAATCACTCTCCCTTCCCAAGTCATGGGGACGCCGGTGCTGCCTGCATTCTCCTCTCCCCTGAGTGGTATCGGCCTCCCCCAGGCAACGTGCCCTCTAATGACTGCTCCACGTGCAGAGTAAGTTTTGTTATGTGCACCAAGGCATGTGCGGACGTGCACCACCAGTAGAAACACATGCTGCCGGCTCTGGGCGCTCTGCTAATCAGCTGGGCAGCATGTGAATCTCTCCTGGATGGCCACCCAAGTGCTCAGCGTACAGGGAGCACTGCCTCCAAGCTCCCTGACACTCCGCTTGCTCCCCACAAAGCACCTACCTGGCGTTCTCCCAGGGGAGTTCTTCCTTCTCGGCTGCTTGCCCAGCGTGTCTGCAGTGGGCTCAGACTCAGCAGTAACACAGGGAGTGTCTCCAGCCCCTTGCTCCCCTGTTCCTGGACTCACCCCAGAGGACGAGGAGTGGGAGGGAGCACCAGGGCCCAACACATCCAGGGACATGAGCGAATGGAAACACACTGTTCTCGGGGGCAAGACCAATAGAGCACAGAGCATGGGAGTGCTGAGAAATGAGGCTCCCTTCCCCCAGCCCTCTTGCCCACGGATATGCCACCGTGTCATGCCTGCCACCCAGATTGCACGAGCATCTCCTCCCACCCTCCGCTCCCAGCATGCTCAGCACTCCCATGTCCTTCCAGCGGATCATCAGCCCCGGGACAAACCCTTTGTAGGTTCCCCCACTTCCCCCACACACTCACATTTGGGGCAAAGCAAGAACCAAGCCCTGCCTGGACCCAGCGATGGCGCAGTGTCAATCAGCGAGTTCCTCCGGGTCTCCAGAACGAAAGGTCTTTTTATCCCCTAGCCCAGAACTCAGTGCCAGAGGGGAAACAAAGGGGCAGGACAGCCCAGCCTACACCCCCAGGAGAACAGGGGAAGTGCCCTCCCCCCGCAGGAGGACAGGGGAGGTAGTTCGCCCTCACAGATTGCTCGGGAGAGAAGCAGGATGCTCCTGGAGCAAGGAGGTTGCTCCCCCACCAAGAGTCTGTTAAAACTACAGAGGAAAAGGTGTAAGAGGCTCTGAAGCTCAGTTCCAACCCCTGCAGAGCCAGCCTGTGCCAACCTCAGCCCCCCAAGGGGTCCCATCCAGCCCCGCCTGCCCCTCCCGGCTGCTGCCCCGAACCTCCCGCCTCCTCACAATATATTAACACTATGATGTGCAAGTAGGTTTGCTCAGCTCCCTCCCCCCCAACCTTGCTCCCATCCCCACATCTCAGCCCAAGCCCCGTCTACACCTGGGATGTTCTCGCTCGCCCCACGGCACCGCTAAGAGCAAAGCATGATGGGAAGTTAGTAGACAGGTAAGACACCACGCAGCCCCACCCCTTCCCCCGTGCACCACCCCCCGTCCGCACTGCAGGCTGGAAGGACAGTCCCGGAGGGCGTGGGGCACTCCTCG